TTTTCGTGGATAATACAAATATTGTACATTCTTGTAATTATCGTTTGCAATGTTTCGCGTTGCAGAGATATTACATAAAATTTTTTATTTATGGTAGGTATAACTTTTATAATACGTATAACACCGATTGAAATTACAAGATTTGTAATCAGAATTGTTAAATAGTTAAATAACTATTGTCATGGAAACAAATGTTTTCAGATAATTATTCACTGTTACAGCAAAAAGTTTTCTTTAATATGAAAGATGAATCTGTATCGAATAGTGGTCGAATTATATTAAATTAAATAATAAAATATTTGATTTATTCCCAAACATACACATGGAATCTTTAATAAATATTTCTCATCTATATATCTAATATTTCTATATAAATATTAATTCAAAATTCTTTAGTATTTAACTTAAAGTATTTAAAATACTTTGATATATATAGCCTTCAATTATTAAGTGAAGTGTAAGCGTTCAAATACTTTTACATATACACTGATGAGCAAATTTTAACATGTGACATAAATTGTTAAAAAATGTATCGAGTAATGGTAAGATAATTAAAATCAACATTGCCAATTGCCTGTTTAGTGTCGCAAAAAGTCCAATCAGCTGTCCAAATTATGAAAATGTATTTGTCTTTGACTGTAACACTAAAAATTTCAAAAATACGATTTTATACTTCTGCAAAAAATGAAATTTGAATGAAACTTTATAAAATTGAACAGCAGAAAAAGTTGATATATACATGGCTTATGTTAGCTACAGTGACTTAAGCTTAAGGAATGCAACTATACTCAAAAAATCGATTCCCAAAATGATAATTTGGAAACGAGTGAAAATTTGTCGTAAATTGAAGTATTTTTTTTTGCTCTTTTAATACATCGATAATCGATCAACTTTTATTAAAAGTTTTCTGTTTCTATCTCTAACTATTTCCGAGTTTACATTTTAGAAAAAGATTTTTGGACCAAGATTTCATTCATTAAACTTAATCTATGGTAACTAAGGTAAATATATACCTATCATCTTTGCCTATTGTACGAACCCACGATGTTTTATTTAAATCAGACTATTTTTATAGAACTATGAAATTGTGACTCATGAATTTTTATTATTGCAGGTAAGGTGGAATACATTTTAATAATTTTGAATATTTTATACATATATTACGATAAGAAGTAAGTAATCGGCAATGTCGAATTTGATCATTTTACACCAATACAATATCTTTTTGGATAATTTTTGTCAAAAATTGATACTGCTGTTGGAAAGTTAATAAAACGTTAATTCCACGTCAATTTTTTTAAGGATTTGTAAGTTTTATAGAGAATTTTATAAAAGATTTACAAATTACTCATAAAGTAAGTTACGAATAATTAAAACAACTCTTAAATAAGAAATTCCTGATAGATGATACAAAAAAGAATGTAACTTAAATTATCGTTTTTCACGTAAAATATAACACGAAATAAAAATTTTCCATTCAAAATTTTCATGATCATTTAGGTATCGTTTTATCTTTTCTTAAATGGAATGTTATATTCTCGTAATTGAATAATCAAAGAACAAAGCAACGAACTTGAAACAATGTTCCTAAGTAACCTTGACTTAATGAAAAATCGCAGAAAATGAAATAAGCAAAAATGAAAATCTTTATCCGTCTACATTTTCTTATTTTCAGGATGTTTGAAATTTTCGATTTCAACTATCAAATTTCGTTATATTTTCTCCGAAAATGATCGTTTCATCACAAGAACATTCCTTTTAACTAATATTCGAAATATTAATTGACCTTCTCGTATCCTCGAGAATCGTTGTCATATGATAAACTACACTTTGTAAATATCAGCAAAAAGAATAGTCTGTTGAGCTAACAAGTGAACTTATTGCTCTATCACATCGAATCCTTATATTACAAACGTATTGCAATAAAATCTCTCATATCCGTATTAATCGAAACAATGGAGCGCATAATAGAATTTTCCTTTCTAATATTAAATTCCATTCATTTAGATAAGAATTAAAAATTTTGTTAATCAATCATTTCTAGCTTTCTTTCATAGTCCAGGTTTCTTTTCAATCTCTTATTCAACTCTAGAATTATTTTTCTAGAGCCTTTGTCACTCGGTCAAAACCATTGGAATACGATAGAATATCATCTGCACTTTTACTTTTTGAATTCGTTAAGATTTCCCTACTATTGTAGTACTACCTTTAAAGAATTTACATGTTGGATAACTATAATTGTAGAGCTCTTTAATTGTTTCGTATTTTATTCCAAACTTACAAATAAGAATTGTATATTTTTGATTAATCACTATTATAATACCGCACACTGTTAGTTTTGTACTAAATTCTTATGATCAGGATTTGTTCGATACGATAAAGGAAGCTACAGATACGTTATTTTTAGATAATGCAACAAAACGCTGTTCGAGTCATAAAATGCTCGAATAATGGGCTGCCTTTCCATATTCAAAAGTCTTTTTGTTATTAATACACAGCGTAATGGATTAATGAATAATGTAATGGCTCGTATTCACTTTTCACTCGTAAATTTACTTTTTCCGGAAGAAATGGTAGATCATTTTATAAAATTACTTCATACTTGTATACATTTAAGAGACTGTGAAAAAAGTATGAGTCGATAATGTCATCTTTTAACATTCAACATCAGACCTTTCAGGTGCCAAATTTTTTTACGTTCGATTATCTAACGATCACGTTCACTGCAAATTTTGTTTCTTGTTATCTTTTATTCTAGAACGTAAGTTATGACAATTATCACTGGTGTTATGGCCGAAAATTTTATTTTTAAAAAATAGGGAATATTTTCCAATATCTTTCTTCCATCTTTATATCGAATAGCATTCAGTCATTAAAAAATTGTTCTGTATGTTTAATAAATTCGCGTAATGCTATTGGAACTTATGCATTTTCAGAATTTTTTGGAATTTTACATTACACGTTAATAAATTCCACGTTCCATGCTATTTTCTTCAAATCGATATAAGGACTGACTGTAACTGTAACTGATACTAAAGTTGGCTGCATTTCATTTCTAATAACAATTCGATGATTACAACAACGAAAGATTCGCCTATGAAAATGTCCAATTTCACGAAATCTTGAAGTTGATCGTTTTATGGCTCTTAGAACCTATGGCTCTGAGGTATTCCAGCAGCATATCTACAATCCATCGTATACATTTACGACTGCATAAATATCGCTATACTATCTAAAAATTAAAATAACGATGACGAAAACGCTCTATGATAATCAATGTCAAATCAATGTCAATCTTGCTTTTATTGTCTTTTTGAAGCATTTTATAAAAATGGATTAACAATGCAAATCAGTAGTAAAACAATAGTAATAATAATAATAACTGTGATCGCAGGTTATTACAAATTTCTTACGTTAGTGAGCAGAATCATAACAACTATCTGTAATTTAACTTAATCCATTCTTATTCGAGTTATTTCTTTGTGCAAAAAAATTCCGAAGAATTGACTGAATTTAATTAAAAATATACATCGAGTTATAATGTAAAATAATTATATTTACGTGTATAGACAACGAAATGCCTATGTTAATATGTCTCGATATTGAAACATTAAGAACGAATAGATTGATGTACATAACTATTTTTTGTCGTGTTAAAGTATTTATGTGTTGAATTTATATGTTATGTAAACGTGTCTGAAAGACGGAAACGTTTACAACAATGCTTAATAATCAGAAATTCAAATTTCGAACAACAATAAAATCCATACTAAATAAAATATATTTTGTTACATAACTATATATAATTTAATAAACAAGATTAGTAATACTGGTAGAAAGATAAAAATCCGTATCTTTTTGAAAGATATTTCAATAATATCTTCTTTTATGTAACTTTACGTTACTTGCCTATTCTTTCTTTTCTCTTTTTGTTTCTTCTTCATCGGGCTATTTCAAAAACACAAAATGAAATACGTAAAAAATTTGTATTTTACATATTACATATTACATATTACATTTACATAATAAATTACAATATTGAACGTTCTGAAAATCGTTTAACAATTACTTCACTTGACAAAAACTTGTATGCAACCTGCATAGCCAATAAATGTATAGAATGATAAAAGAATAATTTATAATCTTTAGAGTAGATGTATGGATAGTAAATGAATAAAGCAAGACGTAATAAATTTGGATTAACAAATCAATATTTTTAATATTTAAATGTTTAAAGTATCAATATCCAAACCTTGTTAAGCAACGGTCCCAAGAATGTAACTTGTTTCGATATATCAGATATGCAATAGCAATCTTACTTTCGTACTTTCACGAGTTAATCGATATTTTAGCAAAAAAATTATTCGAAAGTACAAAACAATTTTACGTAAAGTTGGTCTTCTTAAACTTAAAAAAAGTAAATCGTAGAAAATTATAAAAATTATAAAATTATAAAATTATAAAGATGATAAAAATTATAAACAATTTTTGGCTCGAATTAAAAGTAATTTGTTCGCTCCGTAAACTATCGTTTTATATAAAAGCAACGAATTATCTTCTCATCCTTTAACTTTTGTTACCGAAGATTTTCTACATATTCCCTTTCCGTTTCCACGCACACACGCTTAATACCTTCGACGCTTAAATATTTACGTGCTTATTACAAAAGTTCCGGATTTTTACGTACGTTGCTCGTTTTAACCGAAATAAAAAATGATTTATAATTTTAAAAATACTTATTTTTCAATCCATGTTTATCGATACCTTTCTTATCTTCTACTTACTATCATTTTACTTTAGTTAATACAGTTAATAGTAATTTACTGCTACTATTCACCCTAAAGTTTATGAATCCTTCTTCTGTCATCCTGTATACAATTTTTTTCTTGATTTTTTATTGTCTTGAAATTGTAGGAACCATCGAGAAAGTTGTTGATAAAATATTCAAATAATCCGACGATGTATAAAAATGATCTCTACATTGGTGTAATTTGTTACAGTGCGTGGTGGTTGGACGACGTTTGACGGTTCTGCAATGGAAGCACAGCGCCGCTTGGACTACATGGTGTTCTGCAGCGGACACGGATACCGTTGAGGGATTCCTTCATCTGAAAGAGTTCAATGCTAGTGAAACTCCATCGTTAGTGACGATAATCGAGAATACTGATACGAACAATGAATGGACGCTGTGCTGCGGTATCCGACACCATTTCGAACTGATCTCAGCCTCTGGAAGCACGCGAACTCTGCATATCGAAGGAACGCCGAAACCACATCTGGTAGCTGCTTTGGATCTCTGCGAGGACGAAGAACCTGAATTACTACTTTGCTATAATAGTACGTATTATTTTACACTTGAACATTAATTTTATGATTCGCAATAAATTTTTTTAGCTTTTCATTTAGACCCTAATTCTTTTACTCTCTCCTTTCTTCCGTACGTTCACTGTTTACAAAAATTCCTAGGACTTTATATTTATTATTCTTATTATTATTTACTGCTAAACGTTTTAAATTATTAATTCATTTTTCAAACATTAAATTACTTACAACCATAATTTCAATTTTAGTTTACTCCAATCCTTGTACAATATTTTATATTTTTTAATAAATGCAAAATTTGTTTCGTTTCTGAGAAAAAGGTTGATCGATAATTTATGATATTTATTTGCTAATTATTATCGTATTAAAATAATTTGCAATGTATCGAGTTAAAGAACGAGACTTTTTCTTCTTTCGAAAGAAGAACCAAAGTTAGTAAAATTACTAATAAACATATATCAAACAACGGGAAATGAATAAAGAATTTCAATAGAAAATGCACATAGTGTCTTTTATATATTTCTTTCTTGTATTTAGAAACGAAAAATGATATTTAAGGAAAATGCAAAATATCGTACTCGAAACGTAGAAAGAATTACTAAAGATTATATATTCAAATACAGTAATCCCTTCGATTACCCGGTCCCCGAATTATATTCGACTTCATGATAGTAAAACAAAAAAACTCGCTTTCTACTAGTAGCAATACAACTTTGACAGCCGAATTGCGAAATTCAATTATTTTTTAATTTACTTTACGATAGTAAATCGAAAGTCGTGATCTTTTAACTTGCACCATTATCGCGGTAAATAAGATATACATATGTATAATTTAATTTATTCTGAAATTGTCATAAACCGCCATAATGATCGAGTCGATAGAATGGCACGTCATTTTCCTATTCACATTTCCCTTAAAAATTCAACTCGACTAATATTCACGAGATTTCTTATCTAAGTACCTTGTCTCGAGGAAAAATTTTTCGATTTCTCGGACACCTAGATTATCAACCCCCACCTCTATTAGATCGGATAATCGAGGGACTACTGTATTTAGTTACATAAACATAACAAAGTTATACTTAGAAACGAGCAATTTACACATACGAACGATAATCCGTAAGAAAACTAAACGATGTAGAAATGAACGAATAGAATTACTTTTTAATATTGACTTACACTTGTCACAGATACATGTCACTTTCAAAAACTGCTGGAGGAAAATACGGCACCAACGGAATTCGATTTCAACTGGAATTCCGTGCCTGCAGCGATAGGTAAAATATCTTCGTCCTTCTTTTACCCTATCGTATTATCCTTCTGTCGAACCATCGTTCTCTTCGTTAATCTCGAACAATTTTTAGCTTGTGCCTTCCCCTACGTGATCGCTTTTACCAACGACACAATGGAGATACGGTTGATCATCAATGGAAATCTGGTGCACACGATCGCCATGCCGAATCTTAATTTAATCACCTCGAAACAGGACATCTTCTTCGCCACGACGGCCCCGGAGTTTCTACCGGGGAAATGCGAAAGAATCCGACTGGACTCGAAGCCCTCGGACAAGGAGGAACCGGTTTCAAGTCCGCCTCCTTTAGCGCAATCCTCATCGTCTCGATCTAATCTACAAAGTACGTGCCGCATTTTCAAAACGGGTCATAATTTTCCAGCTATTTGCACGATGCGAATGCGCTGCCTTACGTGATACGACTGAGTCGTTAATACATTTATGGACTAACGATTATGAGGACTAGACACGAAATGGACACGGAAATGTTGTACGCTGTAATGCTCTCACTTGTCGTTAAGAGTGGAATGAAAATAGATAAACATCAACTATTTGAAACGATTAAGCTGAAAATGTGGATAACTGGATATCCGAAAAAATTATACATAAATTTTGCCTTTCTAATTTACACTTTTAATTTATATTTTTTAAGCAAATTCTATACTATGTGTTGGTAGTATATATGGTGGTATATAAATTATTTTAAATGAGGAAGTAAAATGAAAGCTTAAAGTCAATGTTTTTTATTACAAGTTTGATTCTTAGGAAGAATTAGCTCTGTATTATTTACCTGCATTTATTGTTTGCATAATCAGATTATAAATACAATTCTAGTTTTCAGTTCTAGTTTGACTTTATTGTTTGACTTTGTTTATTTTGTTCCCTTTTTTTCGGAAATTCAATATTATTTGAAACAAATTTCTGTATCATTAATTGCTTCTAAACAATTCTAAAAAGATCTCACAGAAATAAATTGGAGGTAATAGGAACTAAACAAATATAAGTGAAAAGATGTTCAGTCTTTACTTTAATAATGTACGTAATCATAACAGATAGCTCTATAAAAGACTTATTATAAAATATTTGAATATTCGGAAAGAATAATGTTCTGCTCGAGAAATTATTTCGAAAACTGAAATTTGAATACTACGGTGCAGTATCCAATCAAAAAGTTTATAAATTCTTATAGCTTTACGTATAAAACTGTATAAGAACTTTACAGCTTGCAAAACATCAAAGGAAAATGTACGGACATTAAAAAAGAGTAACAGAATTTTATCAGCGCTAGACTATACAATAAAAAGTAAGAAAAATTAGAAGATTCCATTTAGGATGATGAAAATCGAACATCTTTGACAAACTGAATTTCTTCAGTGTTATTATCAGTATTATTGTTAAAAAACGATAAGTAAAATAAAAAGATATAATAAACAGTATAAAAATAAAATACCAAAGATTTGAAGTTTTTGACAAGCTGAAGAATGTGTCGTTTTTATTGTAAAACATGAGCATAAATCTATATGTTGTGACAGCATATTGATACAAATTAACTTAATAATGTGTTACAAATTTTGAACGAATTTTGAAAAAAAGAAATGGTACTTATATTATACATAATTATAGTGTGCCATCCAGAAAAAAATTAATAGGACATTTGAACTGTTTAAAGAACTTATTAAAAAGACTATAAATAACGATACGTTCTCCGCAATCATCTGACATTAACTCAATTAAGAAATTACGAGATGAATTGGACAACAAAGTAAGGAAAACGTACTGAAAGTCAAAGAATGATTTATAGAAACATTAAAGGAAAGTTAAAATTATTCTTAAAATATTTAAGAAATAGAGTTTACTTGTCGAAAGACTACTCTCTCATAGATTTAAAAAATTTTGGAGTATGTTGTAGAAAACTATTTTCTGAATGATTCTCTCCTCTGACAAAATTATCACTCGTGTATGCGTGTATTTGCGAATTAGTGTACTTTCTGAAAAGAAGCAACTTGGTTATCGTTATAATAAATAATCAGATTAGAGTTTTTACGAATTAGATTAGAGTTATTTCTATGTGCGGCCATGTATGTATAAAATAATGAATTACTTCATATTTTGGTAAATTGGGATTCAGCATCGATTTTCTTTAACACGTTAGACGAGCACGTTATTACGAAAACGTTAAAAAATATTTCAAATCCATGATGTCTTTCAACAAGTTTACCATCAAATGACTTTTGTGCAGATATCTCAAAAACTAAAAGTGACCAACAACTTAAACATTTTTTAAATCCGCGAGAGAGTAATCTTTCGACAATTTTAACAAAAATAAAAATAACGATTCAAACGGATATATTCGCACGAAGTGATTATATTTATTGAAAAGAAAATAGTACACGCTTTTTCGTAAAACATTTTATGTATTATTTATTTTATAGCCTAGGTTATAGTATAAAATCTAACTTAATTGTCCCATGACTTTTGGGTAAGAGTACACATGTCAAATTTTATTGTAAATATTATCACGAATACTTCTAAATTTTTTTCAAACATGAAATCTTAAAGGAAACGAAATAAGTTTATTATGCATTTTCGTTTTCTCATGTTTTTTCAATTCTATTACCATTGTTAAATACCCTATATATTTTCCTTACAATTAATATTTTAATGTAAATAGCATTTTCTATGTTTCATAGCAATTTTAGAACCTGTGTAATTTAATCTGAACAAATATTATTTACGACCTTTTTTGTTGGAAAAATGCTTTAAATTCTTAAAGCTTTTGCTCAACAATTTACGTATACACTTTCTATAACACAGAATCAATTTTACTTTCATTTGTACCTAATCATCGTTAATTGTACAAGGTATAATTAATACATACTTTCCGATAGCACTGTAGTAAAGGGATTAAATAACATTCATATACAGAGTTTACATACATATATTTATTACTGATATGAGAAATTAAAACACTTGGGTAACAAGTATCCCTTTTCCATATATCAGATATGTAATGATAATTTTACTTTCGTACTTTCACGGAACTCTTAATTTTCCTCTCCTATGATATATAAAAAATACTATCTTAATCGATTTAAGCGAAATGATTACTCGAAACGATAATACAGTTTCATGCTGAAGTCAATCATCCGTGTCATTCGCGTTCGTGTGTACTGCTCGTGACTATCTACGTAGATAATTATTAACAACCATTTTCCGGTAATTATATAAATCGATTCTTACATATTCAAGTTTTCCCAATAATTAACAATATATTAATAAGAAGCGTATTAAATGAGTAAGACATAGTAAACGTCCATTCTAGTTGGTATTTGATTCGGTATTAATAAGCTTGAAATATCAAATATTTCTTTTAAAAATGTAAGTTCACGTATAAGATAAGTGTTGAGAAAATGGGAACGGTTTTGCTATACTTTTATAAGAACCTAACAAATTTTCAAAAATTATTTTAAACATGGTCATCCGTGTATCTAGTTATCCACATAAGGGTTAGCTTATCAAATTAAATAATGAAAATATAAAAACTGTTACAAATATTGAATTTGTTATAGGAAGATCTACAGAGATTATCTTGAAAAACAGAATGGACGAATATTCGATATACAATTTATATCACTTTACTATTCACTAGTTAAATATAGAACCGTATATTGAAATGGAATCGATATAACTTTATTATTCGCGTTCGAATTTCTTCAAAAGTAATTTTCAGTTTTGCAAAAATCTTTGAATGTTTCATCTTATGGTTAACGATGAATCAATAATGGAGTTATTATCTATTTCAAATTGTAGACTATAGAAACTTGCAAGATTATTAAAGTTTAGGAAAATAAAAGTATGATACCACGTTGTTATTGAGAGCAGAAAACAGTGCGACAGGGCAAAACAGATCATTACCGTAACTGGAAGTAAAAAGTATCCTTTGTTTTCAACAGACAGTCAGGGCGACTGGAAGCCGATAAGGATCTACCAAATACCGCTGCAAACATTATCGAGAAGCACTTTATCGACTCGCTCGCAACGACGATGCCCCAGCCCGGTCGAGCCGGAAATCATCTCCGCGCCACCAACAACCACTGACAAAAGTTTCCTTAGCGTTGAGCCTCACAGAGCACTGAGCAGGTCATGCAGCAGTAGTCCGACACCAACGCCGACGACTGCGATGCCACCGCGATTCAGGAAATAGGTTAGATCGCGATCGAAAAAGCTTCATTTAACGACGTTTTCACAGATCGCAGCTGTACCTGACGCTCGTGCCTCGGTAGGATCGACGATGGATAATGTACGATTCTATGCGTTTAAAGTGTAGCTAGAATTTACTGCCGTTGCAAAGAGCAATCGAGACAAGTTTGCTATAATAGACAACGTAACCGTACGTGCAAAAAGTGCCCTTGGCGTTTTTCAAGCAGGAAAAGCTCTTTGGTTGCATATGATTTCTTTTTCTTTTCATACTTTTTTAGTACAGACGTGTCATTTCTTTTTTTTCCTATCTTTACAGCCGAATGAAAATTTGTCTAATCGTTGGCTCATAGTAGACAGATTAAACGTATATCTCTTCGGTTCTAAAAAGAAATGATGAAAATGGCATATATGTAGGTATAAGATGATGCGTAAAGGAATACTTTCGAAAAGTAAGACTTCTGGAAAGAAATTTCGGCTTAAAGTTTCAATCAAAATTTATATTTAGAAGATATGCAGGTTTATATTTATAAACATATGCAGGTAAGAATTTATTCGACGACAACTTTATTTTGTAATAAAATGTCCCCCAAAGATGCCCCTTTCTCGGTGTGTTGCATTCAGTACCAGTATAAAAGAAAAAACTCGAAGAATCAAAATGTTAATTAAATTTATGGAATAAAATGTTATTCTAGCGATTTGTCAGTTTGAGGAAGTAAATAACGACTAATGAGAGGGATTTTATTAATCTTTAAAGGTTTTCGGGTCACAATTATTTTGTAAGTGACTCGTAGATACTTTACGCGTCAGTGATCTCGTTCGATAGAGTTATCCTGATGAACTTTATTGATAAATACGTACAATACGACCATATGTACATAAAATGATAATTAATAAAATGTATGCTGTCATTGGTAAGATTTCTCGCTGCGAACTTGCTCACGCCGTTGAATCGCCTAGCGATTTTCCGTCTTTCATTCGTCCTTGTTCAGTTTCTACATGTATGTATCTATTGCAAATAAAAGAAGAATAGTGTGAAAATACGCATCGAGTGTTGATGTATAAACAAGAATTTTGTTAAAGGTGAAATTCGTTGTTCCCATTTTCGTTAAAGTAATTACGATTAATCGTTAATTACGTTACGTTAATTACGTTAACTAATAGCTACATTATTTTAATCATATAACTTTATATATACTAAACCATTTTATTTTTAATATATTCGGTGAATCACCGATTGTAATACATTCAAAAGAAGCATACTTTCTAAGTTACAATCATTTATTTTATTTCTTCGATATAAATTTATATGAATGATTTAAAAGAAATTTAAAAGAAATCGTTTATATTGAAAATTTATTACAATGAATGCACTTAATTAATTATAAATCCTGATTTTAAACTACTTTCAATTTCGACTTCGAATTTCATCGGTTACAAAAATAATTCTTTCCATAAGAAATTAATGTATGAGAAACAACAGCAGGAAAGTTTGATAACTATCGATAGTATAAAAATTATCCATATGCAGATGATGTTTTAAATTTTACGTTTAAATTTCACCCCACGAAATTTGCAAATTTATATCTTCCACTTTTAGATGAAGCTTTTTGAACGATATTTGTCATTCTAATAATTTCTCCCTTGTATTAAAAAAGAGTATCTTTTGATTCAAAAGCATCTTTTTATAATTTTAAAAAATTTACACGATATGATATTTTTTGGGGACTAGTCGGGGATAGTTGGGGATAAATCGTAAAAATATCGCAAAGAAGTTATTGCGAAATTAAAAAAGAATATAACCAAACTTAATTCGAATAACTCTTCCTAACGCTTTGTATATTCGTCAAGGAAATACATTTCTTTCCTCTCGATTGTTAACAAATGTTCAGTGGCAATTATTCGAATTATTTAATCGAAAAAGATCCGATCGATATGATCGTGACGGGTGGAAAGGGCTGGCTCACGTTTCCTGAAACGCGTTTAAACGGGTTCGAATCAAACGCATTCCGCGACTTTTTTGCCACACCGTCGAGAATTATAGATGCCAATCGCTGTCAAGCGGAGCTAAAGGAAAATGCTTTGGCGACCCCGGTCAGCCTCGAGCATTGAACCATGATCATTTACGTTTACCTGTCTTATGCCACTATCAACCGAGTGTTATAATAGTTTCATTCTTTATATTATTTTTTTCTCAAATCAACAGGTAAAAATTCAAATTGTATCCCATTCCGAAAATCCGCGTTTATATTTGAGGATTCTTATAAAAAAATAGGTGATAGATACACAAGTTGAATGTATATGAGAAAACTAAACAACTTTTTTGTAGATATTCACAAATACCATAGTATTAGTATTAAACTTGTTTCTACTTGCTGATTTAAATTTAATAATGGTAATAATACTTAATTAAACCAATAACAAACATTTGTCTAACCATTAGCAGTTTGATCATCGTCAAGTTTAACATTTTGATTTTATTTAATTGCAATCAACTGTCTATAGTTTAAGCTTGATAATAACAAAATTTTCTTTAATCGTTATTTAATGTTTAACTACTTTGATATTTCTTAATTATTTCGCACAGCATTAAATACCAAGCAATGAAAAAAAATGAATTCTGGAATAACAATTTAAATAACTTTCGTTTCGTAATACATTTATCTATTGTAACATAGATGTTGAAAAAGATACTAGAAAAGTTTCTCATAATAAACTCGTCGATTCAAGTAATGAATAAGTAAATAAAATGAAAATAAACAACACTCAACTTATATAGTCATTAGTGGTACTATATATAAAATAAAATTAACCGATTTTGTTACTCCGTCAAATTTGTCGATAAAATTTAAATACAAAAGTTATTAAACATGTTATAATGACAATTCTTAATGACACTAATTTATAAAAATGCACATTCACACTTTCCGTATCAATAAACACTTCAAAAAATTAAATATATTTGCTCTAACTTCTTCTACTTCACTAAAATCGCAAAATAAACGATAATACTTAAAATACAATAGCATTTTGCAAGGTAAACAATGCAACGTGAAAAGGTACGCGTTCGATCTACTCGCAACGTTTCGGTTAGATCAAGTTGCGCGTCGCCATATTGGAATCGTGCTACCGTGTGATATATCCATTCATTTTGGATGTTATTCAATTAAAATTATTCAATAAATTGTTTTCAAAGATTATTCGAACGCAATCTATTTATCAAGAAATATGAAGGTAACAGAAAATGTTTGAGAAGGTAAATAAAAAATATCGATTTATCATCAATAATAAAATAGGTTATTTGTCGATCAGTGATAACACCAATTGAAACTTTTTTATAACATCTTCTCCTTTGGTTATTAATGTATTCAAATTGTCAAAAAAACCAAAATCTTAAACGAAGAAAATCTTAATTAACGTAATAAATTAACATTGTTTAACAGTTCATTCTATTGCAACAATATATAAATCGATTCGTGTACTCGGTATTTTCATTTACATATCTGTTTCTTATTATTATACCAACAGTTATAATAAAAATGCTTCTTGAACGTATATTTAATATATAAAAAATATAATTTTGCTTTTATTTAAAAGGTCATATTCAATCACAAACTATGATATTTTATTTCATTTGTTATTGCAATTTACTAGTTTATTTTGACAAATTTACTCGCTAAAACGATCAATGAAATTCGAATAGAACGATATAGTACATTTCTTTTGTTTTATGTACATTTTTTGAGTATCATTTCAAATCAATTTCGTAGAGAGTCGTTACATATATTATGTACATCGACGCACGACAACGTCGTCCATCTGGTGGCGATGCACTGTACTATCGGTACTAGCTGCGAGCACGAGCGTAGAAAGAGAAAGAGAAAGAAAGAGAGACACAGGTACGAGACGAGCTTGTGGTGTGAGGTAGCCACCAGTCAACAGCGGAGACGGAGACGGAGAGTCCGAGGTAGCCCGTGCCTGTAGCCGCCCGTGGTTCGTTGTAACTCGTTGTAACGTGACGCGAAGGTGTGCCAAGCTCTTTCGGTTGCCTGTTACTTCGTCCGAAGACGCCCGATCGCACGTCTACCGTAGTGTCGCATATCGAAAGTGTCGGTAGTAGTGTTGTGTGATCCATCGGCCTGTCTGTCCTTGTGTGCTAGCCGAAAAAACTGTACCAGCCAAGCCGTACATCATCGTGGAAAACTGTCAAGAGTGTCGTGTCCCAGACGCTGCCTTTCAACGCGAACACTTCGGACAATCCTCGTCGCGATTGTTGAGTTGCACGAAACATAAGGTAAGGAAATGCGATATGCGGAAGTGTATCGGAAGCGAAGGTAAAGTTGAAAATCGCTTGGTCGGCTGCTCGGACATTGCGCGTTCAGAGGTTATGTTTCCCGATGACCCCTCGACTCCCTTCTCCTTCTCCTCGTTATCCCCTTTCTTTTCATCGTTCTCTTCCTCTCTTCTCTTTTGCTTTAGCCGCCCTTCCCCTCTTCTCTCTTCTCATTCTTTATTTGATTTTTTCGTCGCGAACGTGTTTTCCTCGTCAGAAAATTATTTTAATTTTATCAGATTATCACCAACTCTCGATACATTTATAAGAAATTGGTACGGTGAATTTCGATCACAGATCGATTGATCACTAATCGTTCGAATCTTTCTCCCCCCCTCCCCCCTTCCTTTCTCTCTCCCTTTCGGCGTCTCTCCCTTTTGTCTTTTTACGTCCTTTTTCCTCTTTCTCTTTCTCAGCCGCGAGCCGCGAAGGCACTCGCACACGCACGCTCTCATACACCGACATATTCCGCTTCTTTCCTGCAAGACCGTGTCGTAGCCTTTCTCGTGGTAACGAGTTTCGTAACTTCCCTCGATACAAGAGTCACGAACTATCAGTTGTCAGCCTCCGTGGCCGTACCACCTGTCCAAAAGTTGATTCTCTTCCTTTTCTCCATCTGTGCTTCACAATTTAAACCCCATTGCGTTTTCACCCCTCTCTGTCCAACTCCTCGTGCTCCGAATGTCTGGCGTAAAGGAAAGACGTTGACACTAATTTTTCATCATCTCACGGCTTTCGTCTTGGGAACGCGACGAAAACGAGAACGTGATATAGCCGCGTGTCTACGAACGTGGCGAGGTAATCGGAGTAGCAAGCGAGGCTAACCGAGTTGGACAGTCATGTTGATATTTCGGCGCGTAGGCTTTCTGGCTTGACAGCGTGACCGGCCTTGAGCCCCTCCGCGTCCCCCTCTTACACCCTTCACCTCCATCCCCACCATTGGAGGTAATACACGATATACACTGCAGATCAGTGCTCCTCAACGCAAGATTCTTGTGCTTGGGAATTTTCTTCGATCGCGCGCGCACCAACTTCTTTCTCTGTAACGCGCTGCATATGGACGTTTCGTGTTCTAAGTGAACCCGTTAAACCAAGGAGACGAGTTATCTCGCTCGTACATACGTATCTACGAAGACACTTTGTTAACTAATCGATGAAATTTAACATCTCGATACATTTAAAGAACGTGATGTTAATTCAGTTTTTACCGCCACAATGAATTTTACTAATTTTATAAAAGGAAAAAATGAACTGTAGTGATAATTGTATCGTATTAATGGATTTGTACAAAAGTAATTTATTTTCATTTAAGTTATAAAATATATATTTTTGCGTCATAAATGTTATTTTTCATAATTACGTAAAAATAAGACACGAAATAAATTTTTTTCTTAAATATGGAAAATACGCTTAAATCTCATAATTTTCTGCTACGCATTACATAATGTAATATATCGTTATTTTCTTACTATTTTTTTCATTATTTAGTAACAATTTTTCACATGTGTGAAATCTTACACGAGTTTGTTTAATCGTTCCTCCTGCGATGATAAATGCATTCTCATCGAAACGTTATCCTAACGTTATCAAATCGAAGGTCGAACGCGGAATCTAGCGCGTAGACAAGTTATCTTCGATCAAGGAACTTCGAACGAAAGTCTGACATTCTACCTACTAGTCACTTCGTATTGGATTTTAATAAACGTTGGTTAATGTAAATTCTGTAATTATCACCAAATCAAAATTCGATATCCAAAAAATACGCAAACGATACACAACAATGACTTACGATACAAATTAAATTATTTTTTTCGTTTCCTAGTATTCTGACCTACTGCTTCTGTTCCCCTTTTTTGTGATGAAAATTTGTCCAAATAATAAACGAAATATTCTTTTTAAAATAATAATTTGCAGAATACAAAGTACTGTCGAGATGATCTGCCGTTTTATTTGTATACTATAAAGTTAGGCAGACGATAAAAATGTTTATAAAGTAATATTTCATTTATGATGATAACGTTACTATAAAAATAATCCAATAATCTATTTCTTTGTCTAATATCGTGTTTTCAACTTTAAAATAAGCCTTCTAATTTGCTTTGTATTACTTGATTTCGAAAATACAATTGACGTGATAAACAACTCGCAATTTGTATCGAATCTGCAAGAATATTATTCGCATTAATGTCTAAATAAAATGCTGATATAAAAATAAAAATACCAAGAATCTAAAGACTTAGAATTGCTGACCTTTTAAATTAATATTAAAATTCGGTCAAAAGTGTTATACTTATATAATTTTATTATTTA